GAAAGTCAAGTTCAGGAGATGATGCATTCAACGCATGAAACTCCTACCGTCCCACTTGATCTGATTCATGCGAACATTCACAAACAGTTGTAAATGATTCTTCTGTTGCTGTAGCTCCACATAGGTCTGATAGGCCAAGAGCCCCGTCTAGGAAATACGTTGATTTCTTGATGACGGAGAGCTCAAAGCTTTTACTATTAGAATGCGAAGAGCCTACCACCTATAAGCAAGCTATGATGAGTCAAGACTCCGAAAAATGGCATGAAGCCATGAAATCCAAGATGGAATCCATGTCTGAAAATCAAGTTTGGAATTTGGTTGATTTACCAAATGGGGTAACACCTATAGGATGCAAATGGGTTTTTAAGTTGAAAACAGACAAGGATGGGAACTTAATTATTCATAAAGCAAGGCTGGTTGCAAAAGGATTCAAGCAAATTCATAGTGTTGACTATGATGAAACTTTTTCACCGATAGCGATGCTTAAATCCGTTTGGATACTTCTAGCGATTGCTGCATTTTATGACTATGAAATTTGGCAGATGGATGTGAAAACCTCCTTCTTGAATGGTTTCTTGGAGGAGGATGTGTACATGACACAACCAGAGGGTTTTGTCGATCCTGAAAATCCTAATAAGGTATGCAAGCTTCAAAAATCCATTTATGGATTGAAGCAAGCATCTCTGAGTTGGAATCTTAGATTTGATGAGGCCATCAAACAGTTTGGTTTTCTCAGAAATGAAGAAGAAGCCTGTGTGTATAAGAAATTTAGTGGGAGCAGTGTAGTCTTTTTGGTCTTGTATGTGGATGACATACTTCTCATTGGAAACGATGTTCCTATGCTACAATCTGTAAAGGTTTGGCTTGGAAAGTGTTTTTCTATGAAAGACCTAGGGGATGCAGAGTACATTTTAGGGATCAAAATCCATAGGGATAGGTCCAAAAGGATGCTAGGTCTAAGACAAGGTACTTATATTGATAAGGTCCTAAGCAGGTTTAGAATGGAAAACTCTAAGAGAGGTTTTCTACCTATGCGACATGGCATCGTACTTAGTAAGACTCAGAGTCCATCTAACTCTGATGAACTAAAATAGATGAGTTCGGATCCTTATGCTTCGGCCATAGGATCCATCATGTATGCTATGGTTTGTACTCGCCCAGATGTCTCATATGCTTTGAGCATGTGTAGCGGATTCCAATCAAATCCAGGCATGACGCACTGGAATGCTACTAAGAACATCCTAAAGTACTTAAGGACTAGGGATGACTTTCTAGTATATGGAGGTCAATGAGTTAGTTGTTAAAGGTTATACTGATGCGAGCTTCCAAACCGACAGAGATGATTACCGCTCACAATCAGGGTACATCTTTTGTCTTAATGGAGGAGCAATAAGCTGGAAGAGTTCGAAACAAAGCACAGTAGCAGACTCTACAACGGAATCAGAATATTTAGCAGCAGCTGAAGCAGCTAAAGAAGTTGTTTGGATAAAGAAGTTCTTGACGAAATTAGGCATTGTGCCTAGTGCTATGGAGGGAATTGAGTTGTATTGTGATAACAATGGGGCTATTGCACAAGAAAAAGAACCAAGATCAAATGACAAGTCCAAACATGTAATGAGAAAGTATCACCTCATTCGCGAGATTGTAGACAAGAAAGATGTCAGGATCTGCAAAGTACATACAGATGCGAACATTGCTGATCCATTGACTAAACCTCTATCACAGCCTAAGCATGATAGCCATACAAGGGCTATGGGAATTAGGCACATTGGAGAATGGTTGTGATTATGTAATAGTTTTAAAATGGTTGTTTTTTACTATTATGTTTCTTGATATTATGTTTATGAAATAAGTATTTCAAGTTCTATTATTTAATTATGGTATAGTATTAAATAAAATGTCCAAAGTAATTTAAAATTTTTAATAGGTTCATCAAATGCGTGATTTGGTGAATGAAACCCTATTAAGTGAACATAATTTGTAATTACTGCTTGTCCCTAGCTTGAGTCATTAAACTGGACATAAATGACTTGTTACAAGACTAGTTTGTAAGTTGATTGATAGCGCAGTTTCATGGGCTATAGAAATATAAGGATGTTTAATCAATTACATGGATATGTATTGAGAATACATATTGGACAGACCTACATGAATTTCTTAAAGTTGCTTCAAGATTTTCATTATTATATTTAGTGAATTCCTTAGACATGAGTATAACACTACTCTCATGCGATGATTAGTATATCTTTAACACTGTTAAACGCTGCGCCGTAAAAGGAGGTTATAAAGGCAGTCGTTGGGATTGCTAAAAATTAAGTGGGAGTTTTGGTTATACAAGATTGGATAAGTCCTCCTATATGATTAGGATTGGTGTTCTTAGGCCTCTTGAATAGTGAAAAGCTGGAAATGCATGGCCGTGCTCAAATGGATTAAGTGGTTAATCATTTGTCTTGACAGTTTAAACTCGGAGTTCAAGAAACAATTTGAATATTAGTATGGATAAACATAGAGACGTTATCATACTATCAAATTAGACATTAAGCGACTTAAAGTATTTTAACATTGCACACTTTCCTTCGGACAAGTGGGAGATTGAAGGAGTTGTGTCCTCAGCCGTTTGTGCAATTACTAAATATATAAGTTAGGATTAATTATGGAGATAAATAATTTAGTCATTTTAGGTGGTCATAGCGTTTTTCTAGAAACCAACTATGATTTGTGGGTTTATTATGAAGCCCATTGCTAATTTGATTGAATCCTAGGAGGTCATACAATAAATTATTGGTTTGGATCAAAATCTATTAAGGCCCAATAGTGGGCCTTGATGGCAGATTATTTGTGATTAGGGTTTTACTTTTATATGTGGTTGACCTATAAAAGTAAGTTAGACAACCCTAATTAAATACACTGTTATTTTCTGCCTCCTCCCATCAAAAGTAAGAAGAGTGTTACATTCATTCCTCTCCCGTACTAGCATACGTGGGGATCCAATCCGTGCTTGTGGACTGATTAGAGGAGCAACACTTGGGGCTCAACATCTCCGCGGTAGAAAGCAAACGAGGAATTCACGCATCAAAGGTTGTAATTCCTAACCTTATTATTGATACTTATTATTATATGAATATGATCCTGTTTAGATGTTAAGAATATGATTTTTGAAATTCTGCTAAGCACATCTAAAACCCCTTCACTTTGATCCTGCATGTAAAAGTTATATATCCTACAAGACCATAAGGAACTACTACTTTACTTTCACATACAAAATAGAAATAAAACTTTTATCAGTGACAAAGGGAGTAAACATTCTCCTATGAGGCAGACAAGCAAAAGCAAGCCTATCAAAGAGATTTTATAAGGAGATTTACCAAACTGTAACAAAGATTTAAGGAACCCTATAATCACTTGTATTAAAAAGACAAAATAAAAGTGGCTGCAAATGAGCATTAAAGATTGATGTTCTTAAATAAACCAATAAGGACTTACTCTCTTTGTTCTTATTTTTTTTACTTTCTTCCTAGATACTTTCTGTTTATATGATTGATGTTCTAAGAGCACTCTCACTCATGGGCATTTTTTTGCCCATGAGGAGAATTTAATGGAAAAAAGGTTAAAATTGTATCTCACATCACTTATGAGCATTAAAAAAAAAATGCCCATGAGGGAATCCTCAAATGGCCATAACAATAAAAAAAAAATATTTGCTACAGTAGACGTGGGCCATGGAACTAAATCGGCAAAAAAAAAAAAAAAAAACTGCATATGTTAAAAAATAATGTGATGATGGTAATGTGTAGGAGAGAGAAAATAGGAGAGAGAGTGCTGTGAGATTTTTAATTTAGCCCATGAGTGTCTGAGAAGTTGTTAAGAAAAATTCTCATGAGAAAAAGTGAGAAGGAGGAGTGAGAAAGTGGATAGAGAGATAATGACATTTTTTTTTATTTGCCCATGAGTGAAAGTGGTCTTAGATAAGAAATGCTGCAACATACATCAAATACTATATTGTCTTATTTATTATATTTAATGATCTTCAAAATATACATTAGTTGCACCTTTTCAATAAGATTTCACACTAACACCTAGGACAATATATCTCTCTACTCGAGCAATGAGCTGATAGATGAAAAAGGGATTAAGAAAATAATAAAATTCTATCAAGTATTGAAGTCTCAGTTAAAGTACCTCTAATTTTTTTGTAAGGCATTTCTTTTGCGGATATAAGAAGAGCTTCGATTTTGTAATCTCCCATTACTTACATCCTGTCATCACTGCATACAACACAGAATAAAATGTGTCAGTGTTCATATACAAGGAAGAAAGCCCCATCAAAAGTGAATAAACCAGCCAAATCAGTATTCAAATATAATGAAAATTGTCTCCATACCAACCACTATCTCTACTCACCGAACAGATCATAACATAATAGCTTACAATTTGACCTCCATAATCCTTTTATATATTTCTTAGGTTTTTTTTAAAGGTATGTAGCATATCATTCATCTCTCTAGAAGCAGTTAACAGTAATTTGTATCCCACTATCCCCTATTTATGATAGATAAAGAGTGTCATCAACAAAATTTCTATAAAACTAAATGCCCACACCTGATCAACTTGTTAGATAGTGAATTAAATTAGCATGCAAAGCTTCAAATAACCGACCAATTAAGAACCAACCCTACACAATCCCTTTTTTCTTTATTCACATCCCTCACACAAACAACATATACAGAATAATACTAAAGCAACCTCGATCATAATTACATAGAAAAAACTTACTTCATCCTTTTTTGATTCCATAACATTTAATGCTAGGTAAGCTAAATAAAAGTTGTAATACCCGCATTTTTATGTATTTTATAAATTATTTAATTATTTGTAAAATATATTTTGAAGGGCTTAATTATATACTCTAAAAGGCTAAAGTATTTTAATTATCAAGTTTTATAAAAGTAAAATATATTTTGGACTAAACGTTTATAATTTATTTTGACTCGTTTACAAAATCGTATGTAAACTATCCCTACATACTCCTATTGGACATATCCCATTTCATTTAAATAGGCCCAATTCCCTCATTTAAACCCTATAGGTCAAATGATTCTTGACTTAAGCCCACTTACTTATTAAGCCCAACCATACTCTTTCTTCTCTACTCTATAAATACCTCCTAAAATCCTAAAATTTGCCGCACAAAGAGGCTCAAAATCAGATTTTTGCAAAGTAAGTAATTTTTTACTTATTTTCTTTCCATTTTCCTTATCTTTCTTTCTTTTTTTTCTTTTTCTATTTTTCCTTATTCTTTCTTTTTCCTCTTTGTTTTCCTCCTGCTGGTCTTGCGTGAGTGCTCCACTAAGCTGCCACGTGTCACGCCTTCCACCTCACCTCGCCGGAAAAAACACCGGCCACCTTCCGTCGGCAGTCCAGCCAACCATCCGCCACCCACGCACGGTCTCTTCTCTTGTTTTTAATTTATTTATATAGTATGTATTTTGAGTTTTGATTTTAATTGTTTAAACATGATTAGTATGTTTTAAAATTGTGTTTTGGATGATTAAAGAGTATAATTTCATATTATGTAGTGTTTTAATTTCAAAAGTATAAGTTTTGAAGTTAGGGTTTGAGTATTATTAAAGATTTGATTTTTAGGTTTCTAACTTGAAATTAATTTGGGGGTTTTGTATACCCCCAATGTTTATAATTAATAATTAGCTCTAAAGATTGTGTTTTTTTGAAGTTTTAATGAGTTTTGTTAATATAATATTGTTGGAATTTTTTAATTAAGCACTACTTTGTGGTTTTTGCGAAAATGGTTTAATTACCCATAAGTAGAGAAGTTTTTAATTGGTTTTAGTAGAATTTTCAGATTTATTTTAAGGGTTTAGCTTAAAAAGTATGCTGTAATTTTTATAGAAACACTATGAATGAGTTTTTACTTTGTGATTTTAATTACCCACTTAAAAGAAAGAGTTTTAAAGGTTTTAAACCAAAAGTGTTTTTACTTTGTGATTTTAATTACCCACTTAAAGAAAGAGTTTTAAAGGTTTTAACCAAAATTTCAGCCTTTTAGGAAGGTTTAAAAGTGTTTAAAGTTGCTGGAAATTTGTGTAATCAAGTGATTAATTGAGTTATGCACTTGCTATTGTAGGAGACTTTAAGTTTGAGTGATTTCTATCATTGTGGCTAGTTGGAAAGACGATTGAAGGTGCGTATGCGTGTAAGATGTGTTAACTATGCGTAGTACCATGTTAGGAAGAAGTTAAATTTGGTATAAAGTATGAGATTAGTATCATGTTAAGTTGATGTGATACTTGAAATGATTGATTGATTATCCATGTCTTATATATAAGCATGTGAGCATGTTGAAATTATTATTATGAGCTTAATACAAGTTGAAAGAGATTGAATCATGTATATTATTTAATATTCATTATCAAGAAGGCATGTATTTATTATGCTAAGACTTATATATGATTAAAAGAGCTAAAGTTATATTTATTGAGCATAATTCATGATTTTATTCTGTTGAGTCGAGAAAGTTAGTTTATTTATTTACTCACCCATATAAGTTGAGGTCGAGTCAAGGAAGTTAGTTTATTACTCATTCACATAAGTTGAGGTTGAGTCAAGGAAGTTTATTAGTGCATTTTATGCACCAAAGTAGTAATAGTGAAATTTTGTGCACTAGGCAAGGAACCCTATTTAAAATGAATAGTATGTGCTCGCTAATTAATTCAAGAATGAAATGGAAGTATGTGTTGGTTATTGTTATGTATGTTTATTTTTATTGGTTGGAGTCATCACAAGTTAAATTGGTAAATCACGTAAAGTGTAAGAGGATACGCATCAAAGCTCTTGGAACATATATACTTTGAGTATGAACACATCGGGGGAGTTATGCGACTTTATATTTGATCATAACTTCTACATGGACTTTTTATTATTATTAATGTGTTGGAATTCCGTCACAAGTATGGCATAGTAGGTTTCAATTGGGGTAGCTCCCTAGTTGGAATCTCAATATTTAATGGGCTATTCTAAGAGAAGGAAACTCGTTAATCGCTATTTATTAATAAATAAAATAGATTCATGAGTCAAAGGTAAGTTGACTTGTGTTGTATGACAAACACCTTTTATTTGTTTATTTATTATTGTCTATTTGTAGGATATTCATGTTAGTGTGATTGTTCCTATGGTGCATATGTACTCAGCTTTTGCTGTTCGTACTTTGTTGTTTATGTTTAGCTTTTCTTTGTACTGGCCCCTATGATTCATTTTATATGGCGAGTAGTGAGGTTGAAATAAAGAGAAGTACAAGTAGAAGGAGCATATCAAGCATGTTGGGATTGAACGAAGAGGGTTATATGTTTTTTTGTTTATTATTTATTGTATTGAATTAATTATGTAATCATTGGCACTAACATATAATTATTGTTTTAATATTGTATCCTGGTTTTTAAGAGCCTTAAATGGTTCCAAGTCATTTGTTTAATGTAAGTTGGTTTTAAAGTTTGAGTTTGTTTTATTAAACTTTATTTTATTTGAGTTTTCGAAAGTTAGTCTTTCGCTGTGTGACTTTGAAAAGCCTTAGCCGTTATCACAGTGGTTAAATTAAATTTTATCACGGGCAAAAAGGGTAATTTAAAAGGAGGAAATTTCCAGAGTATTACAAAAGTATCTTGCAAAAAATAGGATTTTATTATGTTGAATGCAAATAAATACTGGATGATTTGTGTAGCAGAGAATAATGTTATTGTTGTGAGCTGTCTTGCTACAAATAAAGAAGAAAAGACTGTAATAATGAAGGGTTTAGAGTCAGTAAAGATTGCTTGACAATGCTATGGACAGTGTCTCGATCATTAAAGATTAAACTATGTGATTTAGGTGGTTTTATTGAGGAACCCGTCATAGCAGATGGCTTTCGTGAAGTTAAATCTTCCACGATGATTGTTTCTATTGGGGGTTAGTGTGAATTTTGTAGGTTGCTTTCAAACTCATTTAAATTTTTTCTTTAAACTTTCTAATGTCCACAGCCAATTTCTTAAATCTAATTCTGAAACAAAACAATTCAGATTACAAAGTACTCCCATTGAAATTATTGATTAATATAATTGTAGTGTTAAAAAAATTATTGTCTTTTATTCTATAGTTATTTTTTACCAGTTACTTGTTATTCCTATTCATTGTTGTGAGATTTAGGCTCTCAACAATTCTTACACTTCAAGTCCTTTGCAGAATATAATTTATTTTGGGATTTACTGTATCTTGCTTATTGGATTCTGCTATTCAGCAAAAAGTGATATATGTTATTGCATTGATATTTCCAAAACCGTGGCTTAAGGCTTTGTCTAGTTTCTAATTAAAAGTCATAGCCACTAATAAACAATACATATCAATATACAATCATATGAAAAGCCTTATTATTTCAGCTTTGAATTACAAAAGTGGTTAGTTTCCTAGTTTTATTAGACTATTCCAAATAATTTCATGTATACCCAACTCCTAATTCACATTAATATTATCATCCAAGTCATGATATGACACACATGTAAATTAATTTGATATTGTGTCAATATAATTTGGATGTTCAAAATAAACAATCTGATTGCAATGCCCAACCCAATTCAATTTAAGAACCAAAGTTGTATAATACATTAGAGTACTAAATATTAAACTTCCCACAATTTCAAGATCAACAATGCAACTCATTGACAGCTCAATTATCAATACAAATAGTGAGAACTCCACTTCCTAAGCAAGAATGATTATATCATAGCAACAAACTACATAAAAAAAATATAAATATACCATATAAATATTTCAAATAATATGACAGATCAGTGGGAGTTTGAGCATTGAGCATTCAAATAGACATTGCAAGTTTGAATTTAATGCTAGCACAAGCTGTAGCAAAGTAACTACTTCCATCTTTCAAAATTTCAATTATTTTAACCAATTCAATTCATTATCTTCAACTAAAACATATTTAATCCCTTCCAAATGGGGAGCACCAGTTTTGTTTGAAAGGAAGAAGGACGGAACATTAAGGTTGTGTATTTACTACGGAGAATTGAATAATGTCACTATAAAGAATAGATATCCATTGCCTAGGATCAAGGACTTATTTGATTAACTTAAAGGTGCTGGGATCTTTTTAAGGATTTACTTGAGGTCGGGATACCATTAATTGAGGATTGCTGAGGAAGATATACCAAAGACAGCCTTTCGCACAAGATATGGCCATTATGAGTTCACTGTTATGCCTTTTGGACTCACTAATGCGCCGAAAGCTTTTATGGACCTCATGAATAGAACTTTACAGCCATATTTGGATAAGTTTGTTGTGGTGTTCATAGATGGTATTTTGGTGTACCCGAGGGATAAAGAAGAGAACTAAGGACATCTAAGAAAAGTGTTGGAGATTTTTAGAGAAAAAAAGTTATACGCCAAATTTTTAAATGTGAATTTTGGCTTGAGAAGGTAGCATTCCTTGGCCATGTGATATCAAAAGAAGGAGTTGCAGTGGACCCATCTAAGATTCGGGCAGTTTCTGATTGGCTAAGACCAAAAAGTGTAATTAAAGTGAGGAGTTTCTTAGGGCTTGCTGGATACTATAGGAGATTCATGCAAGACTTTTTGAGGATAGCTCATCCCTTAACAAATTTGATGAAGAAAACTACTAAGTTTCAACGGGATGTGAAGTGGGAGCAATCTTTTCAAGAATTGAAGCGAAAACTCACCTCAACACCAGTTTTAACCTTACAATCAGGGTGTGAAGGGTTTGAATTATATAGTGACGCATCTAAGAATGGCTTAGGGTGTGTACTTATGAAACATGGGAAGCTTGTAATTTATGCAATATGCATCAAGGAAGCTCAAGCAATTCAATATGAGCAGAATCACCCCACTCATGACTTGGAGCTAGGAGTTATGGTATTTGCTCTCAAGATTTGGAGACAATACTTGTATGGTGTGAGATGTGAGATGTACACAGACCATAAGAGTCTTAAATAAATATTCACACAAAAAGAGTTGAGCATGAGGTAAAGGAGATGGCTTGAGGTGATAAATGACTATGACCTAGAGATTTTATATCATGAAGGGATGGCGAACAAGGTAGCTGATGCTTTGAGTAGGATGACGAGTCATATAGTGAACATAATGGTTTTAGCCAAGGAACTTTGTGAAGATTTTAGGAATTTGAACTTGGAAGTGATGGAGTATGGTCAAGTACAGTGAACACTCAGTTGAATGCAATGTCAGTCAAACCTACCATATATGATAAGATTCGTGAGAAGCAAATGTCAGATGAGTGGTCGACCAAGGTGAAAAAGATGAAAGAAGGAGCAACAACTAAGTTTGATATTGATGATAGTGGGACAGTGAAATACAAAGGGAGATGGTGCATTTCTAAAGATGAAGATCTCAAAAGGAATATTTTAGAAGAAGCTCACAACACCCCGTACTCTGTACACTCGGGAGGGGATAAGCTCTATAAAGATCTTAAGCAACATTTTTGGTAGCCGAACATGAAGCGTGAAATAGCCGAGTTTTGACAAAGTGCCTGAAATGTCAGAAAGTGAAGATACACATATGAGACTTGGAGGGAAAGTGTTATCTTTAGATGTGCCGATGGAAGTAGGAGTCTGTTTCCATGGATTTTGTGATGGGATTACCGCTTACAAGGGAAGTAAAGAATGTTATCTGGGTCATAGTTGATCGTTTAATGAAGATAGCGAGGTTCACAGCTATAAAGGACACTTGAAATGTGAACCAGTTGGAAGATACCTATGTGAAATAAATTGTGACGGTACATGGAGTTGCTAAGGATATCATTTCAAATAGAGATCCATGATTTTTATTAAAGTTTTGGGGAACTTTTCAGCAAGAATTTAGCACTATTCTAAAGTTAGCACATAGTTTCACCCTGCTACAGATGGACAAACAAAAAGAACAATTCAGACTTTAGAGGACATGTTAAGAGCTTGTGTGATGGACTTTGGTAGATCATGGGATGAAAGACTACCGATAATTGAATTCTCTTATAATAATAGCTATCATGCAAGCATAGGAATGTCACCTTATGAAGCGTTATATGGGAGGAGATGTAGGGGTCCCTTGTTTTAAAGTGATATGAGTGAGTCTTTGACTTTGGGGCCATAAATGATTGAAGAAACAACGAAGCAAGTTAGGCTTATCCAAGCAAACATGAAGGCAGCTCAGGATCGATAAAAGTCATGCAGACCAAAATAGGAGAATAGTGGATTTCGAAGTCGGGGAAAAGGCTTTATTTAAGGTTTCACCAACAAAGGAGTCATGAGGTTTGGTAGAAAAGGGAAGTTGAGTCCTAGATACATTGGGCCGTATGAGGTATTGAAGAGAGTTGGAGAGGTGGCATATCAACTAGCCTTACCCATGGAGTTAGCCAATGTCCATAATGTTTTTCATGTTTCTCAACTTCGAAAGTATGTTCATGATCCTACCCATGTCATCCAACCCGAGAGTATTGAGCTAGATGAGACCTTAACTTTTGAAGAACACCCTTTTAAGATTCTTGACACCAAAACGAGATGTACTCGAAACAAGGCGGTAAAGTTAGTTAAAGTGCTATGGTCTAATCAAAATTCAAAAGAAGCAACCTAGGAAGCCGAGCATGATATGAAAAAGCACTACTCAGAACTTTTTGAGCAAGTACGCTGAGTTTTGGGGCCGAAACTCTTTAAGGGGGTAGAATGTAATACTAACTTTTCTTTTTGTCATTGTGTGAGCCTTAGTTTGAGAGCTAACTTTAAAGTTCGATGACGAACTTTCATTTTAGGGGAAGTAGATGTAATACCCCGAATTTTTTAGTATATTTTAGTAATAATTTTCTAGTATCAATTTTAAAAATTGATAGTTAATTTTCAAATTAGCATTTTACAATAATAAATTTTATGATAATTATTTTCTATTTTTGAAAATTAAAAAAAAAAAAAAAAAAAAAAACTGATTTTCGATTTTCATGTTCCTTTAACATATAGTAATACTTTACGTGTAAGTATATTTTCAGGAGCAATGTACAATATTGCTAACTTAGACCAGTCATCTGTTTATTGTAGACGATGGTTGCGTAGGTGGTTACACGAGAAATTACTAACTGTTATATTCGCGCTCTTGAGGTAATTTTCAAAGTCTATCATTTTTAGAATCCCGTTAGGAATTTATTTCAATTTATTGTGTGCGAACTATGTGCTTATGTGATTATATGTGACGAGTGTATTAACGTACGATATTCTGAAACCATATTTTGAAACTATTTAATTATATTTTGGGAAACTATTTAATTATATTTTGGGTACTAGTGTAAGTATTTTCGAAAGTTTGATTAATTGGTATCGTATGAATTTCTAGAGTAGCTAAAATCTTGGAAATGGATGATTGATTATATGAATTTGATGGTCTTCAAGGCCTATTGGGCAATGAGTTTTATG